CCATGCTGGATTTCCACGTAGGTTTAATATTTTAACAGATCGTTATACTTCCGTTAGTTAACAGTACACGTCATGCGATTTTTAACGGAGGGACCAAGTCGGGGTTAAAATGGTAAACAGTAGGGACCAAGTTAGGGATTTTTTGAGTTGAGGGACTCAATCGGGGGTCCGTACGATAGTTGAGGGACTAAAAAGGGGGTTTAACCTTTATTTTTTTTTCCCTCGTAAAGAGTGTGACTTTTTTTTTTACAAGAATAATGATTAAAAAATTAATTTAAATTAATTATTAGTAACTGAGGATTCGATTCTCAAACTGTGTAAACATTTCACCTCCTCAAATAAAAGGCGCAGCCATCGTGCCACTTTTTTGTGGAGTTCACGACGATGGTATAGTTCGAAACTCCGACCAATTTACCTAAACACTTAAAACTTGACATCGAACCATTGGATCTAAAGATCCGGTTCAAGAGTGTGATTATTCTAAAGATTTTTGTCTCAAAGTAACAAAAGTTTTACCTAAACAAATTTTATTTACTTACCCTATTTGCATTTCGTTATCTAATTTCTTTTATACCAATTAATATAGATAATCTTTATATGGGTGAACAAAATAAAATTTACCTCAAAATCTAATGTGAAAAAGAAAAATTAACATATCCTAGCAAACATTTTTGCATGTTTCAAGAAACGAGTATCAATTATCCAATACTACTAGTTTAGGAGTTCGGAGATAAATTCATCCATTTGCATGAAAATCCTCCCCTCTTTTTCAATAATGTAAAAAAGAACCCAACTTTTTATTGTAGTTGCTTTTAGCTTTTACTTTTATTTATTTATCTATTTATTATTGTTAGGATTAGCTAAGATGATAAATAAGGGATACTTAATATTTAAAATATTGAATTGACTTATAAGTTGATTTTAAATGCATTAACCAACTATTTTAAAAAAAGCCACAAATTGATAAAATTAGTTAAACTAAATACACACTTAATCAAGAGTTTGTGGTTCTTACTCTTTCCACTTTAGTGCGATGAACATGCTAGGGAAGATAAAGAAATCAATGAGCCTTTAGGAGAAAATTTCTTGAATTAGTATGTATATAATTTTTTTTATTTTATTTTGAAAGTATGTATAAACTTATTTAATGTCATATAACTATTATAAGAATTTGCTATCAATCAACATTCTCAACATATTATTATTGAAGATATAATATCAAATCTCAAACATTAATTATATTCATATTAGAAAATTGGTCATTGTCATGGTAGTAAAGATTTTAGCTAATGAATCTTAAAAAAACCTCTCCTCTTAATTAGTTCATATCTAACCAAATTTTAAGTAAAAATATTCAAATAATAACAATTATTATAAAATATATTGCTACATACCACCACTAACACTCTCTAATCATTGCATCAATGAGTTTTTAATTTTCATCAAAATTGCCAAATGAATCGGTGGATTTTAAGATTTTTTTTTTAACATGTTAATAAGAGATATGATCGAACCCAAACCCAAGGAAGAGGGGGAGTATACATTTTTTAATGT